CATCTGTAAAGACCTAGTCTGGGTTGTAATCCCCTTATTAACTATGACCAGGGTTGATTTGCCTAAAAATAAAAGCAAATTGTGTCAGACCCTTTCACTTTGTTTTTGATTCGGAACTACAAAATGGATTACTAAAGAAATCTTCAGAGTTCACACGGCTAGCGTAGCACTGAATTTAAAACAAGAATTAAACAAGTTAAACAGGGGGCCATGTCAACGGTTTACATTTTCCATCATGGGAGAAGGGCTGAGTTGCTTATGCCTTTGTATTCTTTGGCTTTACAGAGACAATGAAGCCACAGGAGTTTTTCCAAGCTGTTCGAACACTGTCCCATTTGCCACCCTTCCTTCTTTGCTTTTCTTCTATCCCTCTCCCAGCCCCATTCTAATCCCACCCCTAAAAAAAAAAAAAAAAAAAAAAAAAAAAGTGGGGGGAGCTCTTCCCTGAAAGAGCTAATTCCTGACTAGAAGCTTATAGTTCTATGGGTTCTGCATATTTTAATCAAAATATTTTAAACAGTTGAACACTCCTATTTAAGGCTCTACTCCGCTACACAAAGGCTGAGCTCATAAGCAAATCTATGTAGATGAATGATAAGTGACCTGAAAAACAGGCTCTTTATGTCAGCTGCTAACGAAAGCAGAGATTAGGCAGACAGGAGTACCATTTTCATCATTATTTTTCTTACAAGAGCCCTGCTTTTTGTCTACTTTGTGATGGAACAGTTTAAGAATAAAGTTTTCGTAAAATGTTAAAGAAATCACCTTCCTTAAAAAAAAAAAAAGCCCTTTTGCCGAGGGTCTACAGTCCGTATTTCCTTTCCCTGCCACTCCCATTCCTATGACGTATGATTGCAGTCATGCTGGGAGCTCAGACCGTGTCCCATTAGGCAAACGCTCTGAGAAACATCACACTAAGGTAGATGTCACACTCAACCCCCTGGAAGCTACCCAAAGCATCTCAGTGGAAGGCAAGGTAGCCCGGATTTAGTTGCTCCAACTGCCATGTCCCTCTGAGGATAATGATCGCAGTGACCCACCAACCAAAGCATTTCTCAGTAAATTTACAGACAAGAGGTTTTACCGTAAGTAATCCAAATATACTGATTATTCTTCAGCTAACTCCACCTGGAGAGAACATTCCAATCTGTAGTTTTTAGCTGGTCTGGGGATGATGGCTAATTCACCTGTCCTTCTACTTTGCCTGCAAGAGTCAGAAACGTTCAGGAAACTGGCAGTCATTTGCATTTCTTTACATTGGTAGGACAAGTGTCAACAGCTACGCTTTGTGAAAGATTTAGAACCAAGTGCTTAACAAATCATCTTAACCTCCAGCTCCCGTTTCTGAGGCTTGAAACTATAATTGCCGAGGTTAAAAAGTGCAGTCCCTAGACACACGATTCCCAAATAAATTCTCTTCTCGCCTGAAAAGAAGGCGACCAAGCATGTTGTGAGCTATCACTTCAGCTCCGTCTTTGTGTTCTCCCTGGCTCGGCTGTCCTGTGAAACGACACTCCATTACCTCTAGTTTATCATCCTGACAAAATGTGAGGAATGTGGATGGGAAAGGACTAACAATTCCACCCCTGGTGCTTTGTGCTTTTTTCTCTCTATATTAAAACCGACAAGATTAACCCAAACGCAAACTGTGGAGCATAGTTCAAGGGGCTATTCAATCAGTGTTGAATGTGCATTTGTTTACCTACAAAAATAAGAATTTCAGACACAATGGAAGGCAGGCTGGCTTATATATGGTATTGAATGGACTGTTCAAACAGCACTATCCATTGTAGTTTATTTTATCAATCTCTGACAGGTCCGTATTTATTCAGAGCCTGACTGTGGTGGGGCCCACGTATTATAGGTTATCTGGATATTATCCAGCCATTCTTTTGTATCAAGTCAATCAATACCAGGAATTCAGTATTATGCAGGGAAAAAATGACACGGGAAAAGCAAAATGCTTTGTTAACTAGCTAGTATATGGTGCACAGGAAACATTACCCCTAGACAGAAGAAATTACTGCTCGACTGAAATTTCCAACAAAAGTCAGTGTAATTAATTATAGAGCACCAAACTAATACAGCCTTGCTCACTCGAAAGTGGATATTTTTTAGAGGAGGCAACTATTTATCATGCTTGGAAAAATTATTCTACATCAGTTAATTGGAAATGAAAGCCAGGCTTTGCTGTTCTCCGCCGAGTTGAAAGGGGCGGGGGGGGGCGGAATAGGCTTCGACAACCTAACGGGACCACAACCGAGGTAACACCACTGGAGCTGACGTGAGTCATCCATCTCGCAGGGCAGTTGCTAATGTTTCAGCACACAGAACTTCGTTTGATTGCAGCACAAACTCTCAGGGATGGGCGCAGCAGATAGTGTGATTAAAGTAGTTATGGAGACGGTGATTTTACAAAGGATTTTCTGGACGCGGCATCCAAACAGCTGCTCCTGCTCCCTACATCGACCACCTGCTAAAAAAGCTGACCTCCAAATGAAACAAATCTAATAACTGATGGCGGCTTCATTACAAGTGAATTGTTCCACAGTTCGTAGGAACTGACGTGAAACCTCAGTTGCATCTGATCACCTTCCTGCCACATCACTTTCACGGACTGAAACTTTTCCCTGGAAATAAATATGCAACTTCCCCAAATAAAGCAACCCTTTGGCACTAGGGGTTTTTATTCATTCCCCAACTTAGAAAAGGCTCTTTCATATCACTCTTCCAGGAAGAAATCTTTCTGATCTCTCGAGCTAGCATTCAGCTGCATACTTTCTTAAGCAGACCTTTTCCAGGGACAAATTATCCAGTCCTCCAGGCAAGCCATTATCATGAGAATTTTAAAAGAAATTCTACTCTTGAGGACCGGAGCAATCATGGCAACAGAAACTTCATCAGTGCAGGGTGGCAGGCTTCTCCAAAATGCAGGCCTCCAGCAGGTCTCCAAGTCTGTGGCCGCAGCACAGAAAAACCGAGGAATGCTGCTCATCAGGACCGTTCGTAAAATAGCAGTCACCTCCCCCCACCCCAAATACATTAGGAAAAGAAGATATTAATGTCCGTGCTGGCAACAGTTACTGCTCTACCTTTTTTCTTCCAAGTAGGTATTTTCTACTCTGCCTCCTGATCACACACCAAGTAGTAAGTAGTTAGCGCAGAGATGCATACACGGAGCTGAGCAATGGACGGGTTAATGGGAATGTCTTAAGTGTAAATATTAAATCTTGGTGGTGGTGGTGGGGGGGTAATCAGCCTCCCCAAACAATCCGTCAGCGAAAGTGTAAAGCGGAGCGGAGCAGACAGCCTGGGGGGAAGAGGTGAGAACTGGAGCCGCGAGCATTGCGCGTGGAAGAGTGACCTCTGTAGGCGCAAAGCGAACACTGGCTGGCCTCTTCCCGGCCCGCCCAGCCCGGGCTCCCCAACCGCCTGGACCGGCACTTTCCCGCACCACCTGGTGCCTCACAATTCCGGACCGGTGTAAGGATGTCACTGCAACTACTTTCTCCGCAAACACAAACCTTACATCAATCAAGGAAAAAGAGTGGTCCATACAAGACTGGGCTGCATAGAGAGAGGCTGCAATTAAGTAACTTTTAAATATGAGCCGTGTTGGAAAGTGCCATCCGGCATCATGCAAGAATGTGTTTAATCCGATTTACAGCTGTGACGTTTCTTGCCCTTATCAAGGGGAATTCTTGGTAAAACATGTTGGTGAATTTGAAATTTACCACTTTTAAAAGAATGAACATAATTCTTTAATTAAAATATAATTTGTAAAATCAATTCCCCATCTCTTTACTCCTAAATCCATGGCCAACTTGCTTGTCTTCAGTTAGGCCATTGATTTTCCCTCTGATCTCAAACGCTTACTCCAGGAGCCAGCCAATGCCTCCACACTTTTTCCAAGTTTCCAAAGGCTAAAAATTCAATGATTCTGTAAAATATTTTTGGACCTAACTAGAAATGTATTCCAAGAAGAAGCTAAGATGCAAAACTGAACGCACAGGTAACTTATTAGGAGCCATGGCCGTACATGCTTACCGACGAATCGCCTCTTCTAAATTCTCAATGTATTCTCTTTTGGTAGCTCATACTGGAAGTTAATCTCCACGAGGCCTGTCTTTCTCCTGGCTACACGGTTTGGTAAAAGCAAGTCAGATCCAAGGATCCCATTCCTGCCCAGGCTCCCCGAGCGCCAAGGCGTCAGGAGTCGTATCGACTAGGCAGGGCCTGAAGCTTTTGCAGAAAGCGTCCTTAAAATCAAGTCAACTATCTGGACCGCACAGAGTTCGGGGCCACTGGTTTAGAAACGAAGGGAGAAGCCGACGCGCAGAGGGCTCAGACGTGCAGAGGAGAAACCGAAGGCCCGTCTCCCCGGCTGGCAGGAAAGGGCTCGCCGCCCGAGTTCTCCGGCGGAGCTGGCGAGCTCCCCGCGCACACTCGGGCAGGCGGCACGACGCCGAGGCGCGCGGGCTCCGGGGCGCTGCGGACGGCGAGAAGCGACCACAGGCTCCCTTCTGCGGAGTGCGCTCCTCTGCCCCGGGCTCAGCGCCCCCGCCCGCCTGCGGGGGTCCGACCGCCCTGGGCGCTCGAGAGCGCAGTATCCCCGCCGGCCCCTACGCGCCGGCCAGCCCTGTTTGTGGCCATGTTCTCCGTCCTCGAAAAGAAGTGAGGGTCAGGTATCGCCATCGGACACTTTCCCGAACATGACACCCGAGCCGAGCCGCCAGGGGTTTCTCAGAGCCCCGGAGCTCATTGGGAAAGGAAGGCGGGGAGGGAGCCCCTTAGAACCGGCGCTCTGGCTGGAACGCCGAGCGAAAAGAGTTTCGTCAAGTAATGTGGCGAGGGTTGGGGGACAGGGAACTTGGAGTGGGGGGAACCGGGGTTCCAGAAACAGACTCCGAGGCTCCGCGGCCCAGCCCTTCCTCCCCCCCGGACGGCGCGACGCGGCGGACCCCAGGCGGGGACCGAGGGGGATCGCGGATGCCACTTACTTGGAGTTCGAGGAATTCCAATAGATGGGCTCTAAAACTATCGACCTGGAAATCGCAGTTCTGCATAAAACCATCAAAACTCCCCAGCAGTACTTCCACAAGGAGTCCCTCCTCGCGGCCATGGCCAAGCCGCTCCCAGCGCCGCACACTCCGGACGATGGAGGGACTGGGCGCGGGCCGGAGCCCCAATCCTCCGGGCAGGCAAGGGGGAGACCGCAGGCAGCTCCGGGGCGCGCCGGACAGCTCCAGCCGCCGCCGAGGTCGGGGGCGCTCCACTCGGGGCCCTCAGGGTGCGGGGCGGGAGCGCACGCGCTGGGCGCGGCGGCGCGGCGGGCTCGGGGCTCCGGGGCGCCGCGCCGAACGCAGCTCTGACGGCAGGCTCCCGTGCGGCTCCAGGGTGCCGGGCGCGGGCTGCAGGGAGGGCGCGCGGCCGGGACACAAAGGCGGAGAGACGACTCGCGCGGGCGGCGGACGCTGCGCCCCGAGCAGGCCGCCTCGCACTATAGATCCAGGGGGGCGGGCAGCGGCCCGAGCGCGCGGGCGCCGCGTCGGCGCGGTTCCATGTCCCAGGGCGCGGAGCGCGGAGCGGCGAGGGGCGCCTCCAGGCGCGCGGGAGCCTCCTCAATCTTCGCGGCTCCCGGCCCGCGGAGCAGGCAGGAGGGGCTCGGTCCCCGCCGCGGGCGCCGGACGCGCACGGGCCTTTGTGTGCGGGGAGGGCGCCGGGACCCTCTGCGCGCAGCTCCCAGCTCCGGCCGGCGCCGCCGTCCCCGCCGAGGAGAGTCAGCGCGCTCGGCGCGCTGTCAGAGCACTATAAACGCGGGGCCCCGCCCCGCGCCGCGCAGCCTATTGGCCCGCCGCCCAGCAGCCGCGCGCCGGTTGGGCGGCCGGCCCGTCCGTCATCCGCCTCCGCCCGACATTGGGCGCCGCGAGGCGGGGCGCCGGCTGACAGGTGAGCCCCGCCCCCGGCCCCGGGCGGTGGCGCAAAGGGAGCTCACCCGGGACCGCCAAAGAGGGGAGGGGGTGGCCTGCGCGTGCACCCGGCGCCCCTCCAGCGGCGGGGTGGGGACGCAGTTAGGGACGGCCGAGAGGCGAGCGGGGACCGCACGGGGCCACCTGTCCCCGAGCCCAGCACGCGCCTGCATTGCCCGGCAAGTGTTCTAACTTCATCAGAGGGACAACGTCGAGGGCGAAACTTTCCCCGCGGAGCGGAAGGCAGTGGGTTTTCCCGCGGGTCTTCCTCCTTTCAGTGGAGCCTCTCCTTTGCAAGACTGGCTCACACCCCTGCACGCGCATCCCTTCGCTGCCCCCAGCAGGCTTCTGAGCGATGTGTTCCACACCTGATTTCGGTTCCTAACGTCAGCTGGGGCCGGACCCAAGTCAACGGGGCCGAGAGATGCAAAACGACTCCCGGGGACGTGGCGCCGGTGGGGCTGCCGACAATGGGGCGCAGGCATCCTGGCCCCGCACCCTCCGCTCCTCGCTTCCCAGGAAGGCAGAACCTCCAGGCGTTCCCTGCGAGTGTCGCTGGCACACCCGCGCCCGCCACGGGACCTTCTTAATTAGCCTCTGGGACACACTCACGCCGCCCCAAGGTGACCGAGAGTTTAGGGGTGACGGTAACAAATAGCGCCCAAATGGAGAGGTGGCAGGAATTCTTCACTTTGGTTCTTTCTCGGCAAGTGCTTGCCCTTGCCCAGAGAACGCCTTGGACGAGCGCCACCGCGTCGACGGCTTCCACGGACCCACAGCGCCCACTAGCGGCCGGCCTGACTTCCCCGAGAGCGCACCACACCTCGCCCACCCGGAACCAGAACCCCCGGGAACCCCACCGCGCAGAAAGCCCGAAGCAGAAGCTTCTAAAATGACCAACAGCAGGGAGAATTCGGCGGCAGTAAGGCACAGTACTAATGTACAAGTCACAGTTTGAATAAAATAAAATATGCCGTATACCCACAGCATGGTTTAAAAAAATCCTGTCTACTCCGGGATTTAATGTTTCAAACGCAAGGAACCAGACGGTATTCCTACAAATTATTTCTTTAGCTAAATTATCTACTCCAAGCTAAATTTAAAATATATATATTGTAAAACATCTCATTTAGATACTACTGTTTCTTTCGCTCGTCTTTATTACAAAGTTTGAAGATTTTTACGGCTTAAGTATTCCTTTTTGGAAATAGTAAACATAAGCTAAAGCACATTCCAACCTGGAGTGTTGACATTTTGTTAGGACTAGTTTGCAGCGCTCGAAAACACTAAGGCACGGGAGGTACCAAATACATTTATACTATTCCAGGTAAATCTTTGAAAACAACTTCATTTTCCCTATTTGCTAGTTTAAAAATAAGCCTCCGATTTGAGGAAATTAAAAAAAAAAAAAAGGCTCAAAGATTGCAAACCGATTTGAAGTCATGGGCATTCCCATGAGGACTAAAATACCAGGAAGGGGCAGGTGGTATTATTCATAACTTTGTCACAAGGGTAAAAAAGGAGTGGTTTTTAGTAAGCCTAAAACATTTTAAGGAATTCGTTTGAAATTTAATGTAAAGCTAGCTTAATATTCTACAAGAACTGAGTATCTCAGTACCACGTTTCGCAGTTGGCGAATTTCTTTTGTGAAGTTTAAGTTGGTGACCTCTTAGCTCCTACATCCTCTCTCCAAGTAAACTAGAGGAAATAAAGGAAATTTGCATTGTCTGAAAATAACCCTGGCTTCCATTTTTAGTAAATCAGATATTCACACACCCAAAGCATTTTGCCTCGGGGAAAATGTAAATGTACATGTAAAAACTGCTTCTTTTTTAAACAAAGTGTATTTGACCAAAAAATAAAATCCTACACAAAGATTCCTATTGTATAACTAGAGTGTGAATATTCATCAATTTATTTTCAGTAAATAAGGATTAATGTATCTGTAGACTACTAGGTGAAAAACCTCAGCAATAGCAACTTCAAGATGATAAAATGTTCCAGGGCTGTTGAGATGGTAATTTCAGTTCCACTGACCTGGAAACAAGGAAGAAGGTAAGGAGCACCAACCACCCCAGTCAAAAAACCCTGTTTAACTTTGGACTCCCCCCAAAACTTAACTACAGATCTCTTGCCAATAATGTAAAATCAATCAACACATATTTTGTTGTTTTATGTATATTCTGTATTTTTAAAGCAAGCTCAAGAAAATGTTAAGAAATATAAATACATTTGCAGTACTGTATTATATTTATTGAAAAAAAGAATCCCTGTGTAAATGGAATCATGCACTTCAAACCCAACTTGTTCAAGGGGCAACTGTAATTAAAAGCATCATCTCAAGCCAATAGTGTCTACTATTGTACATATGATGCCACACAAAAACTGTTACAGCAGCATGTACAAGACAAAGGTGAAATTTTAATGCGTGCCAAACCAGAAAGAACCTATCACATCAGCTTAATACATGTTTGTATTTGGACTTCATATTGTGACTAAACTGTCAGGAGAAATGTGGTAATTTCTGAAAAACCCATGGTTTTACCAGCACATCTTCACCCACACATTAAAAAAAAAAAATGAAGTTTTATCTCAGTTGAGCAAGTTACTTCAACTGTTTCTAAAGTCAAGTTAATAAAAATTGGGGGAGTTTCAGATAGTCAATAGAAGTTGATAGAAATATGTCTGAATAAACGTTATGATGAAGTAGCAAATGTAAAGCTAGGTAATTTGTTTAAAAAATTAAGATGGCAGCCAATTTCGCCCTAGTACATGCACCTTAGCAAGGTCATATTCCTGCCCCTTTGAGTTCCTATGCATGCTTGTCTTTAGACCTCATGGTCGTTTCTTGTATAGTACTCCATCAATTCTTAGATGTCCTTCAAAAGACATCCTTAACATAACTTTCTGTAAAACAAAGAACAAAAGCCTTATCTAAATGTAACATTACAGAAAAATTACTGAAATTTGATGTACATGTTGAGTAAATGTTGTCCAAGCCATAGACTTTCATGTAGCTCTAAGACTCTACTAACATTTCCTGCCATTGCATGCAGTTTATTTCATAAAATCACTGTAATTTTTAGGACTCCTCTGCAAATGATACTGCTCAAATTCCTCAAAGGGAAGACCTTTCAAAACAAAAGTAGTCTTTTCTCAGTAAACTTTGCTGTACACTCCTGCATCATGGGCTTCTGAAGTTCAGCTTACACATTGAAACACCCTAAATCAGCATCTACTTATCTTTAGGAATTTGGTAGGGGTAGTATTAGTTACTACATTACGCTCTCGGTCAAAATAACATCATTTTTCCCTTTGGGAAGTTTGGTGACAACTGACCTTATCAACTGTTAACAATATATCCCTTATGGAACTAAAATACCATGATTTTCCACTTACAGTAGTCATTCAAATCTCTAGCTTATAATCGATCATTGCTTTTATATTATTAATGCAAAATAAGCATATGTGGAAGGAGTACAGTAATAGCTCCAACTAACTTGAGTACTTGGCATGAAATCTCTTTTCCTTATTTGCAAACCAACAGGTTTTAGAGACGGGGCCGTACTCCTGTCACCCTTCCAAACTGGTTTAGGTAGTCTGGAGATGAACAGGTTAAAAGCTGTGCAGTTTTGGTTTTACCACTCATTAATACTAATACTCTAACCTCTCTATACAGGATTCCCACTTTGTGGACTGACAATATAGACACACCATTATAATAACAAGTTAAATTCTGCTTTAAACACATAAGGGATATCACTAACAGAAATCATAAGGAGATAAATAGGTTATGGGTCCATAAAACCATTTATGCACCCTCTAACCCACTTTACAGTAAGATATTCAACAGCACTTTGAAGAGGCTGCAATTATGTATTCCTTTGTTAAAATTCCTTGCTACTTGTTTTTCAACCCATACTGCATTTCCGTAAGCCTGGAAAATGAGGAAGAAAATCATTATTCAAACATATAACAAAAGAATAAACCCATTTTATTCTAATGCTCGTAAGCCAGGTTTAGCAATCACCAGTTGTACTGACACTCTGAAACATACAGCACCGCCCCCCCCAACCCCAATTAGGAATTCCTGAGAGAGAGTGAAACTGCCGGACCATTGAAAATTTTACTCTTTTAACTTACTGGCTTCACAGTAGTATGTCTAAAGAAATATAAAATACAACTGTTCCAACATCTTCTGATCCAACCACTGGATGCTTCGGAAAAGAACAATCTTCTGCATATCAGTTACTCTAGTAACTACAGATACACAATAGATCAGACAATGTGATCTCACCACCTGAAAACCAATGACAAATCTGCTTCAAAATGTACTGTGCAGTGCATTAGCAAGTGCAAATCTTCTAGATTACTGAACCAGTAGCAACTCTAATTCCGGACAACTGAATGTTCAGAAAAACAAAACCAGAGTGAACAAAAAACTGGAATAACAAAGATGATAAAGGCATCTAGGCTAAGTGGCCAATTCAACCAACGAGAAAGTAGGACCTACTGCTTGGGCTTCACCACCCATTCGAGACTCCTAGATTGAGGCTCTTCTCCCTTTAGTGGTCCTTTCACTAATTAATAACATTCTGGCATTTGAGTGTTCCTGAGACTCCTGGAGAGAATGGCAAGTCTCAAACATGAAGATATCCTGTCTTCAGAAATTCTCATGGCTAGTAATCCAAAACGGATGGTTCTGGGTGTAAAAGAGCAGAAAATTAAGATAACTGAAATCAGAAGCTCTAGTTAATAGTAACGGCTTTGGAGAAATTTTAGTTAAGTGACAAGTGGAGGACGCTTAATACAAAATGAGGTACCAGAAATGACACATGGGCTTCAACAAGCCAGGATTCTATGCTTATTTTAATCTGGAAAATCAAAAAGAGGTGCAACATCACCGAAAATTTTTTAAAATACTGGTGGCCATACAAAATAGCTGTAGACCTATACTAGGCATAATTACGTGACTGGGTAGGTTAACTGAAGACAGGGCCTACTTTGCTACATCTTCATAAGGGAAACTGGAACGGTAAATCTGTAACTATAAACCCCTTCCCCTCTTTGCAAGCATTAAAGAGTCCTCACACGAAGCTAATTTAAAGGTTTCGTTTATACAATTGATAATTCTGCAAACTCCACAATAAAAATCCAGTAACTACATATTTTAAATACTGTAATAAAAATAAACAAGTCATTAGTTAATTCTATAATGCATTAAGAATAACCTAAAAAACAAATTGTGAATAAAGGCATATTTAATAAATTAGGGAACATCTGAACCGCTAATAAATTGGGAGAGAATATGAACTTTTATAATAAGTATACAAAGGCAGTGGAAACAAATGAAGAAGACAAATTACTACACATTATTGCAGCACAGAAAAGATTGGGTGTATTTTATTAACAATTACATCCTCTTTCCTGTAGCCTGGCACAGGAACAATTTCAATATCTGATGCGAGTCTCCAACAGCAAGCAGATACTGCGATGTCACTAAGCAACTTACTGTGATTTCACACCATATGTGGCAGTAAGAGATTCTTTAAAAATTAAAAGGCACGCATAAGCTAATTTCAAATATTAAGTCCAGGCTACTCTCTTAGATACAATGTTTATAACACTTGAAGAGCAAAACAATTTTAAGTAAACATTTCCCAAAACTTGAATACACAGCCCAAGAACAATGGATCTGCACCAAAAAAAAGTTACATTAAAAAAAAAAATCATGAAATAATTAGAGCTAACCTATATTTAAAGGTTAAAAAGAAGATTCATAAGCAACCTATATTCTTTAGGTAAATAAAGTGATTTGTTTTAGAGTAATAGGTATCATGTTTATAAGTCAGTTCTCACTACAGTTCATGCCTACTTAAAATTCTACCTTTAAGGATATTTAAACTGATAGTATTGTTCCTTACCACAATTAGACTCACTGAAGAGCTCAAACTAAAGCAATAGCATTTTTCTTAGCATGCACACACAAAATAATCTACCATTTAGTCATCTCATTAACTTATGTTTCACTTGGAAAGAGTGATCAAATGGTCTTAAAAATACTGGAGAACATTCTACTTTGATGACATGTTTATGCATCTCAGGTATATCGCTTTCTTCAATAAATGTTTTAATACCAGTAGACTTAAAACAAACATATGTAAAGATAAATGAGGCAGAGTCTAGTGTATAAAAATCATCCATAAGGTTTCACATGCAAAAACTCATAAGAATTTTAAATGTGTTTGTCCTGAAAATAAACGTGCAGGTACCCTACATTGAAGAGGATTTGACTACCTTAGCCTTTTGTTGAAAGTACAAAGCTAAGTTCTTTCTGATGGCCCACTTTGAAAATAATCTAAGATCCTATAAATTTTTAGAAGCATTTTTCTAGTCTTTTATTAAGTATAATTTGTGGTAGTTAATACTTCTATCCTAAAACAGAGGCACAGGACTGAGAATTTACATCTTCTTCTGGGTGCTTAGTCTTTCTTACAGGTAATACTGATGTCTTAATTGCCGTAGCAGCATAAATTAGGTATTTGTAAAAATAGCCATTAAATACTAGTTCATGAGTATATTTAATGTACATATAAATCCTACATTAAAAGTATAAATGAGGAAATATAGCATAGTTCTAGGATTTCTAAACTGTTGACCATCAAAAAGTAAACCACCCTCTTTAAGACTTAACAGAACTTTAAAAAAAATTGCTTCAACATATGAATTTAAGACTTTACTTTATTCAGCAAAATCATTTATTTACACAATGGGGAATGCTGGTTTGATTTTGTCAATGAAATAAAAACAAACTGAACAGAGACAATACTGAACTGTATATATATTTTGTACCAGAGCTGACCAACTGTTTCCTTACCTGTATCAGGAACATCAAGAGCAACAGTATCACAAGGACACTGGTTTAACAATACACCACATAGGTCCAGTAACACCCTGGGAGCTTCCAATGCTCTTTCCAACTTTTTCTTTTTTTATAAATATATAAAAAAACAAAAAGTCAGCAAAACCAGCATTATGATGTAACAGACAGAGTATAACTCTGAAGTCAATGGGTCAGTAAAAACCTTATCAGACCATCAACAGTTTACAAAGTGATCTGCTCTTCTTCAGACCACTAATACAGAATGCAAACAGGTGAAAAATAGATCACTTTCTAGAAGACAACAATGATCTGATAAGGATCTGACTTAATGGAAGTTAAGGGGGGGGGGAAAGGAATGCAGAGCATAGCCCCTATTAGAACAAGCTAACTTTTCCAGATTTTCCAAATTTAAAAAAAAAAACAAAAAAAACAAAAAACAAAAACAAAAAAAAAACAAAAACAAAACAAAAAACCACTTCAACATGAAGCTACCATACAAAGTTTTTCCATTTTTCTTTGTAAAAAGTTCAGAGTTTGCAATTTAATCCTGGGTTTTTAGTGAGAAGGACAGTTTGGGCCTGGACTTCCCCTTGCCCAAGATAATTTTTTGTTCTTCTTTTTGTTGACGTTGCCGCTCTTGTTCTAGTTTCATCCTTTCCTCATGAATCTTTCTTTGTTCTTCAACAATTCTCAACTGCTCCTCAGCCTGGAAGTGAAAAGTAAACATTAAAATTTTCTATGAATTTCATGTCTTCTATTAATAATATTGGGAGATCAGGCAACAGCTTACAAACAGTATGTTGAATAAAACCTGTGTAAGGTCACACAAAAAGTGATCAAGGAAAAAACACTGAGGAATTAGAAAAGAACTCCTTATTAATTCTGCCTACATTTTCCGATTTTGTTATGAAAAATGTTTTTAAAAACTACAAAAAAGCACAACACATTTTGAAAATGGAAATTTCTAAAATGTTTTAAGATCAGTATAGATTTTGTCCTATTACACCTATTTTTACCTACACTTTCAGTGCATCAGATGAAGAGATTTTCAATTATGAAACAAGGAATCAATTTATCCAAAGAGCAGGTTATCTACCAATTACCATAGATTTATCATTAGAAAGACAAAGTTCTAAGAAAAAAAAATCCCTACTGGGGCTACATTACATTGTCAATACACAACCAAGAAATACTAAAGACCCTTTTCTCTGAAGAGGAAAAAATTAAAGACCCTTTCCACCTAGCTATGAAATGCTTTTCACTTTCAAGTGGACACCGGCATAATTAACTTCTGCAGGGCCTTTAAGTCCTTCAGTCTTATGCAACCAACTCCCTTCCTGTGCTGTCTACACATTTCCTGTCTTTACCCCCAAAAAATTCAGGCCATTCTCCTTCTCCCTCATCAAGTCTCTCCTTCTGCCTCCCCCAAACCCCATGCCCACATCCTTATTTCTCACCCACGTGCAGTTTTACCCCTCCTGTCCCCTCCCAAGGAACATTAGGCAATGTGTGCTGGTGATTCTGGTTGTCACAAACAGGAGGTGGCTCCTGGCATCTAGTGGGCAGAGCACAGGCATGCTATTAAACATCCTACAATGCACAGGTCAGCCCCCCACAACAAGGAATTATCCAACCCCAAATGTTAACAGGGCCAAGGCTGAAGAAAACCTGCTCTAACCTTGAATTTTTAAATCTCAGGAAAATCACTATCTGACCCTCAATTTAAAACATTCACTGCATCCCATCCACTTAATGCTTTCCTATTCCCAAAGTCAGATTTTAAAGTCATTGCTCCCATCTCTATTATTCTACTAATATTATTTTCTAGATGGTCAGAACTACAATGCTTAATGACCTCTTTATTCATTCTCCTGTTCACTTGAACTTACTTCTCCCCTCCCAAATGTTAATACGAAACACTGGTGATTCAAAAACATTAAGGCTCTCCACCTGTTCACTCCGGTTTGTCTCCACTGATAGGCTTTTTGCTCAGAAATAGTAACATTCAATGTGACTGCATCACAGGCTTTATGCCAGAGTATGGGAAAGGTGATGGACTCCGGTATGCAACATAAAATGTTTAAAAACAAAACAAAACAAAAAAACCCTGACTTTTAAATACCAAAGTAACATAAAGAGTCTTTGTTTTACTTTAAGATGGTGGGGGGGGGTGTAGACAAAAAGGTAGGAGACATCCACAGTAATCAAGTAAAGGTCAAAGATGAGGAAGATCAGAATTTAAAAAAAGTGGGAATGTGGTCAGCAGGCAAGATGGAGAACCCAACAGAGAGGTAAAACAGATCTCCCATCTCTCAGACCTTTTTCCTAAGCTACATTTCCTAAGCTACAGCTGACTAGTAGGACACGTACCACGGAGACCTCCGGGCACCTTCAAAATTCAACGTGTCCAAGATTCAAATTCCTCAAACCTAACCAGAGAATAAATCAGTATATAAATATAAAAATCAATAAAGAAGTTTCCTAGGACCTTCTCCACCACCACATTCTGTAGCTTTCTTCTGTCTCTTCCCTTCTCCCTGACACAAGCAAATAGCGAACCAGTTGGTTATTACTTCCTTCATGCTCCCTTTTCCACTAAGATGTCTCATCTGGAGCTCCACATGCACAGCCACCACACCAGCACACACCACACCACCTCCCTTAGAGACCTCGCAGGGCTTCCTTGTTCCCAGTACCCTCTCATCCACCCTACAGAACGCTACCAGTCTCCCCATTCTGGAACATCATTCTGTTCTCGCATGCCCTCAAGCTTCCAGTGACTTCTACCATGCTCAGAATATGACCTAACTTCCCAAATGAGCATACTATTTAAGACTTCCTATAAGCTGGCTCCCACTGTGTATATACTATTCCTTCTCAAGTTACGCGTGGTTTCTATCATGCCCCCCCCTCTGCTCATGCCGTTCTTTCCACCTACTGAAACCTCACCTGTACATCCGTTTCAAAGCACTTTTGTGCTTAGACTTCCACTGATAATTATGAAAGAAAAGAACTGCCTCTGATCATCTTTAGTGAATTCATATGCCAATTACTTTATCCAGTTTTAACAAATCATCACACACTTGGGTAAGAGTTTGGCAAGTGCAATTAAATCAAGATAAAGAATCTTAAGGTGTCGGGGCACCTGGGTGGCTCAGTCGGTTAAGCGACTGCCTTCGGCTCAGGTCATGATCCCAGGGTCCTGGGATCAAGCCCCGCATCGGGCTCCCCGCTCTGCAGGAAGCCTGCTTCTCCCTCTCCCACTCCCCCTGCTTGTGTTCCCTCTCTCGCTGTCTCTCTCTCTGTCAAATAAATAAATAAAATCTTTAAAAAAAAAAAAAAGAATCTTAAGGTGTCCATGTGCCTGGGAAACCCTTAGGAATATAAACACCGAGATTCACTGTTCCCTACTGTTCGAGCTCAGCCCTTAGAAAAGCAAATTAGAACCTTGAAGAGGGAAGGGTTTGAACATCACAATCTAACCCTTAAGAGAAATCTTACACAGTATTTTTCACCCTACCATACTGACAAATTCCAAAGTAAGATACACAATACTATCTTGTGAGGAGTACACTGGCACTACTTACCAAAAGCTCTATCTTAATAATGCTTTTACCCAGCAAATAAATTTCCAAATAACATGCACACGTGCAAAATTGAACAAGGTTTTTTTAAAGCAACGTAGCTTGCAAAAGACTGGAAAAACCTAAATATTCCCCAATATGAGACTATTAAAACTATGGAAAATATATATAATAGAATACTGTGTAGTTTAAAAAAAAATAGGAATCCCTACATACTAAAATGGAAAAATCCCTAAGTTACACTGTTAAGAAAAACTAAGTCCCAAATAGTGTGTGCATATGTGTGTGTGTATATATATATAGTATACTATTTCCCTGCAAAAAGGGAGAATAAAAACACATGTGCTTGTATCTGCCAAAATACGCATTTTAAACTCTAAAAAAGACAAAAAACATAATCGAATATACCTTTTGGAATGGCAATAAAAAATAGGTGGATGGGGGAAAAAGAGATATACCCAGTTATTTTTCTAAAAAATAAATCTGAATGATGTGATCACACTGCCTAAATTAAAAACAAGATTTTTAAAGCAAAGTCAATTCCTTCATAGATAGGAAATACTAATTCTGCACTGAAATTACCTTTAGATTGGGTAAAGAAAAAGCAAGTTTCAATTTCACTTAGGTCTACAAATAGAGGAGATAAAAGTGCGTGTGTGTGGAAGGGTTGCTGTAATTTCTCTGGTTTGTCCCTTAAGTTAAGCCTAAAGTGCCTATTGGAAGTACCTGATAATGAGATGATTTTTAAAAATAAAGTGCGCAGGTGAATATCCCATCTTTACGTATAAATATTTGTACTTTGTTCCATTATAGCTTTAAATGAAGCACAAATGCTATTCAATTACACCAGGGCTAAAACAGACTAGTTGAGCAAAACCCAAAGCCATCTACTATTTTAATATAGTGCTTCTCAAGTGATGAAAATCAATCTGTGAGGTCTGACCCTATACCTTACCTGCTAGGTGTTCTTCTAAACCCTAAGCCTCCCTCTGCAATCTGACATGCCATTTCCTTCCTGATGACTCCACTTGTCAGAATATCCACCACTCCCCCTCTACCCTTCTGTTGTTTCAAATGTATGCTGAAGAACTATTCCAATGGTGGGGAGGAGGTATGTATATGGTATTCATACAGATAAACAATCCTAAGCTCTCCTACAAGGATTACATGATGGACATCATGGGGGCCCAAGAGAAAGCTAACATCCACAATCCTAGAGCCATGAAATTAGGGTGGGTCTTCCTAAGCCATTAAGTCTAGAACCCTCACAAAGGTGGCTTTCAACCTTGCACCTCACTCCAGTGATTGGTGAGATGAAATACATGAAAGCAAAATACAACATTCTAGTAGAAGGACCTATTTACTCTCCCAGTACCTTTTGTCCCACTCCCCCTTTATCCAGAGGGCTCAGTGCCTTTATTAAAATTACTCATTTTCTGGGGCACCTGGGTGGCTCAGTTCGTTAAGCATCTGCCTTCAGCTTAGGTCATGATCTCAGGGTCCTGGGATCAAGCCCCGCATCGGGCTCCCTGCCCAGCGGAGAGCCTGCTTCTCCCTCTCCTCCCTGCTTGTGCTCTCTCTCTCAAAAAAAAAAAAAAAAAAAAAAAATCAATCTTTAAAAAAAATTACTCTTTTCTAAGCATTCTCCTTCTTACACTGTCTATAATAATGTACATCAAGGTGATCCTTAGCAGCAGTTTCTTTCAGTAAATAAGGATGCTGAAATCTACTACTCTCTACTTAAAATATATATGAAATTTTACAAAATTTTAAAAATACAAAGAGAAATATTTGTTATCAGAAGTGATTACAGAAACGATAAGAACGAGTATTACAATTAGGAAGTCATGCCACGACTCAGAAATGTGGATTTCTGCATGTTAACTTTCCCACACACACATCCTGTTCCACTCTGCCATTTATAAATTTTAATTCTTTGATTCATCTTCCCCTCTATAACACGTGTAGCCCACTTTAGGTAAGCAATGAAAAAATTTTAAAAAGAAATTTGATATAAATTCTGACCCTTAGCAAACTATGGATCAGTAACATTTTCTAAAGTTATTAATGTACAACGTTAAAAAAATAACACACAGGATTTAAAAAAGCAATCCCTACCAAT